TTTTTTCCCCCCCCCCCCCCCCCCCCGCCCTGGTAGTATACCACTACTGCCAATCCCTTTCTTAAAGTATTATGGTAATTGTTCAGGGTCCGCTTATGAATGAGAACATGTGGTATACTGTTCTTTGTTTCTGTGATAGATCACTGAATATGACAAACTCTAAGGGGCCTTATCTTTAGAGATACATTTTGAAATATTTTTTTCAAATAAAATGGTATGGTCATTGCTTCAAAATCACTTGGGCTGATAAGGGATATACAGTCACGTGTCACTTACTGATGAGGATATGTTCTGAGAAATGCATCAGGTGACTTTGCCTTTCTGTGAACATCGTAGAATATTCTTACACAAACCTAGAAGGTACAGCCTACTTAGTACAGACCTAGTCTAGATGGATAGCCTGTTGCTCCTAGGATACCAATTTGTACAGCGTGTTACTGTAATGAATACTATTGCAGCACAATGGTAGTATTTGTGTATCTAAACTTTAAAAAATACAGTAGAAATATTTATAAAGTATAAAATAATTATTGTTGTTATTATTATTGTTGTTATTTATAAAGACGGGATCTCGCTTGGTTGCTCAGACTGGTTTCAAGCTCCTGGTCATAAGCAATCCTCCTGCCTTGGTCTCCCAAAGTGTTGGGATTACAGGTGAGAGCCACCATGCACAGCCTAAAATATTTTTTAAATGGTAGACCCACATAGAGCACTTACCATGAATAGAGCTCACAGGCTTGGAAGTTGCTCTGGGAGAGTCAGTGAGTAAGTGGTGAGTGAATCTAAAGGCCTAGGACATTCCTGTACACTACTGTAGACTTTACAAACATTGGACATTTAGGATACATTAAATTTATTTAAAAGTGTTTTCTTGCATCAATAATAAATTAACCTTAGCTTACTATTGTTTCTTACTTTATAAAATTTTTAATTTTTTAACTTGACTCCTTTGTAATAACACTTAGCTTTACACAAAAATACACTGCACAGCTGTACAAAATATTTTCTTTATACTCTTATTCTATAGTTTTCTATTTAAAACTTTATTATTTTAACTTTTTAAATTTTGTTAAAAACTAAAACATAAACACACACAAACACATTCGCCTAGGCCTACACAGGGTCAGGATCACCAATACCACTGCTTTCCACCTTCACATCTTATCCCACCAGAAGCTGCAGGGACAATAACATGGATGGAGCCATCATCTCCTATGATAAAAATGCCTTCTTCTGGAAAACCTCCTGAAGGACCTGCCTGAGGCTGTTCTATAGTTAACTTTTTTTTTTAATAAAAAGGAATACACTAAAATAACAATAAAAAGTACAACACAGTAAATACATAAACTAGTGACACAGTCATTTATCATCATTACTAAGTATTAGGTAGTGGACATAAATGTATGTGCTAAACTTTTAATACGACCAGTAGTGCAGGTGTGTTTATACCAGCATCACCACAAACATGTAATACATTGTGCTCCAACTTCACCATGGATGCGACATCACTAGGTGATGAGAATTTTTCAGCTCCATTATAATCTTACGGACTACCCTCATATAAGTGATCTATCATTCACCAACCAACACATCATTAAGAAGTGCCTGACCGTAAATAAAAGAAAATCATCAAGACTGTGTGATAGGTACACAGAGGTGTGTTATACTAGCCAGTCTAGTTGTATCTACATTTGAAATTCTACAAAATAAAAAAGTTAAAAGAAAACAAAAACAAGGCTGGGCTCGGTGGCTCAGCCTGTAATCCCAGCACTTTGGGAGGCCAAGGTGAGTGGATTGCCTGAGCCCGCAGGTTCGAGACCCACCTGGGCAACTTGACAAGACCTCATCTCTACAATAAATCAAAAATTAGCCAGGCATGGTAGCGCATGCCTGTAATTCCGGCTACTGGGAAGGCTGAGGTGGAAGGATCGCTGGAGACCAGCAGGTCGAGGCTGCGGTGGCCGAGAGCGACCACTGCACTCCAGTCTGGGCAACAGAGTGAGACTCCAACTCAAAAACAAAAACAAAAACAAAAACAAAAACATTTCTAACAGGTACCTATCTGCATTTGGGTAAATATCTGCATACCTTGTGAGGAAACTCACTTAAACAGAGGGTGAGATTAGCCGAGTAGTCAATACATGCAATATGAGCCTCTGCTTATTTTTTAAAATCATAATGTCAACATGAATTTGTTATATCTACACTATTCTGCCTTCAATAAGGCCATTACCACCAATCAGTAAATGACATTTGCAGTTAATTATACAACTATATTTCAATTACACACTTTGTTTCATAAGAGAAAACTAGTCTTAGTTCACACTTCAATATGACAGGTTACAATTATCAAGGACATAGTGTTATTCTTCAAACTGAAATACAAAAAAGAAAGCTTTATGAATTTTTCTTCCAGACTACTATTCCACTGTTTGTTTAGGCTTCAGCCTGGTAAAATATAGGCACACAGGAATTAAATCAATTCCCCTCAGCCTGAATTTTACATGAGAACTCAATAGGAATGCATATGTCTGAAGACAACCCAGATCTGACGTGCCAGCCAATTTTCCTCCCACATTTTAATTTCTCTCAGGAAAACCAGAAGAGAAACACTTGAGCCAAAGAAAATGAGCCTGAGTTTGAACTTCGAAGACATATGTAATGTAAGGAGCCTTGTGACACCAGCTCCTTTTTAGACCACCTTCTGCTCTTGCTCTAACTCTAATATAATGAGGAAGCAATTACAGGCATCCACTTGGTGCTACACCCTACCACTTCAAGAATTGCTTCAGCTAAAAAGGTACAAGGTCTGGAACAGGTTTCCCCCAGATTCCCATTTAACCTCTTTGAAATGGAAACATAATTTTTCCAAATGTCATTGCCAACTTTTTTCCTGCATGCTTTATACTTGATAAGAAATTCAACCTTAGAGGAAAACAAATTGAAATCACAGAAGGTTGCCATACACATTCTACGTGAACTATTTCTCAAGATGTTGACTGCAGTTCCCATGAGAACAGTGCCTGGGGAGACCATGTTCTCACCTGAAATGAAGGAACTAGGGTCTGGCTGAAGGGACAGGAACTGGTTGACATAGTACTCGCGCTGTTCTTCTGTTATCCTCCAGGGTTCATCAGGATAGCTGCTGTTGCTATCTTGCAGTTCTCTCTCCACTGAAAAGGACTTTAAAAATACATTTAAAAGTAAATGCTTGGAGAACTTGTGTTTAGTGAGATGAAGTAGAAAAATTAAATGCCAATAAAAGTTATTACATATTATACTTAATTTTTTCCTAAGGGGAAGAAATTTAACTGCCTCATAACTGGAATGTAAGTAGAATATCAATTTAAGGGCAGAAATCATGCTTTATACTTTTTTGTATTCCCCAAAGTTGTTAACAGGACTGAGCATGAAATACTGAACACTTAGTGAGTAACAAAACTTTTTCCTATGTGATGAGAGGGTTAAAAAAAGGACCATCATCTTATCTTCAACTATTCCGTACATTTTGATCATATAAGATTAGCTGAGTGGACAGTAAAGTAATCTGGATTCCTTTTAAACCATGATGAGGGATGTGGGGACTAGAACATCTATAACCACATATTCTATATTACTATTGCAATCACACTGTATAAATCCGGAAGTCAAAAGCTCCGGTTAAAATCCCATGTCTCCAGATCCTACTAGAGTGGCAAGTCGGGACCACTGAACCTCTCATTCTGCATTTGTGAATTGGAGATAATACTTAGTAATAGAGCTGGGCGGTAAGAACAGCTGTCAGTACCACAATAAACAGGATAACAAGGGGTGCATCAGACATGCCGCTAGAGGGCGGACACGTCAAATGCGAAGATTTAAGAACCCAGAAAACCAGAGAAACAGTGTGAGAGAAAACAAAGGTATGGTAGGCACTGAGGAAAGAAGCGAAACGGTGATGCTGGGAGGAGGAGCCATGCCTTTGTTCTATCACTCCCATTTAACCTAAGATTAAGGTGCTACTTGCTAAAAAGCGACCTTCATAGAAACAAGAGGTGAACACAAGAAGGATGAGGCTTTAGGATAAAATGAGAGTAGGAGAGAAAGGGAGGGGCATCACTGCAAAAAAGCCATCAAGCTGCCTGCCTCTGAACACACGGCCAAGGAATTAATCACTGGGAGGGCATTATACCCACTAGCTCTAGAAAAGACAGCCAGTCATCTCCTTCTCCATCCCACCCTCCCCCTTACACACACACACACACACACACACACACACACACACACACACACACACACACACACACACACACACACCCCGTTCTAGGAATTAATTCTTCCCAGGAACACCTGTCTCCCCTAAGACAATGTTCAGAGAAGAAAGGAGACTAAAATTTTGAACTGTGATATAACCTTGAGATGTCATCTTTGAAGTAAAATATCTATTACTTTAACATCTGAAACCTTGGGCTAAGGATGTTTGGGGAGGGCCAAGATGAGATGAAATACTGCCTATAGAATAGATATTCCCAGAAGTGCTGAGTGAGAATGCACCCAGCAAAGAGGCTATTCCTCAAAATCATCCGCGTCCTTTTGTCAGAAAGGTTACATAAGGAAGTTGAGAGCTATATGGATGCTACTCATTTGTAGTAAATATAATACTAGAAGAGCTTCTACTAAATGTAAATCAAACCACTTTTATATGTCCAGGAAGCCACTATCCATTAGTTAATATGCTAAAATCACAGAGTACTTTGAAATTTACGAAGCATTTCATAACTCCTACCTCATTTGAGCATCCCAAGACTTTTAAGAGGTAAACAGGTATTTTCCAGATGAGGAAACTGAGGCTCAGAGAGCTCAAGGGACTTGCACATATCTGTTAGTGAAGTCCTGCAGGCAGAAAATGATAGCCTTCTTTTTTAAAAATATCTTGTTCAAAGTCAGGTTCTTGCATATTAGGATTTTTTAAACTGTATCTATCTGAATTTTTTCAGAAACCCCTTATGATTATAGTAGGACACAAATATAAAGAAAGCAAGAAGGGAAGATCAAAAGCCAATCTGAGCACCCACCAGACCACACAACCTTTCAAAATGCTCCCACCAGATTCCAAAGCCATACCCTAGCAGCACTTTCTGAATGAACCCAGATGTCTGACCAGGTTTTGGAGGTTGAATACAGGGTGGAGGATGTTGGCTTGAATTGGATTGAATTATCAGCCAGATTATACTATGAAGAACTCATGGGAACACTGCCCTCCAGGTTAGCCCTGACAGAACTAGCTGGAGCAAAGGAACCTAAAAACTGGGCATGGGCAGGACAGACAAGAGCAGATGCGTAGGAGTGAACAATTAAGTGTCAGAGACAGTTCCTGAAGCAGATGGGACACAGGTCAAAAGCTCTGTCCCAGCATTTCCCAGTGAATGAAGGCACAGAGCTCTCTGTGCTGGGCTACCCTTATCAAAGTTCAAGCTGCTTCCCCATAGTTGCTGTGGTCAAAAAGGAGACCAGAGTAACAGCTTTCCTTGATGGTCACCATTCTGTTCACTGTAACTGGTCTGCAATTTTAGGAAAATGCAGTTCCATTGGGGAAAAAAAGAAAAGAAATGCCCATGTTGTGTGCTGGGCCTGCTGCATTCCCTGGTTCTGACATAGAAGCTACTACTTCCCTGGAGTCTACCCCTCCCTCCTGATAATGAAGCTGCCACAGCCTGTAGATGTTCATGTCAGCCCATGTTTGCTTTATCCAGTCCCATGACCATCTGCTCTCTATTTCCTCTTTCACATCATCTCACTCTTGAGTGGCGTTAGTGGCCTCTTAGCAGGTCTTGAGTCTATTCTGACAATAGCAATAAGGAATTGACAAGAGATGGTGATTGATTCCCCTGCTTAAAAGTCCACAGAGATGACCTGTCACCTAACAAAAAGTTCCATCTCTTTCACCTGGCCTTGGGGACCCTTGTACCCCAGCCTTCCCACATACTCATTCCTCATAGGTCAGATTTGTGTCTTCTTCCCAGAACACTCTTCTCCTGATCCCAGCCTGTTCAAATCCTACCTATTCCTTGAGTCAAAGAGCTCTCCAGTGTACCTGCCATGCCCACCACCATGACAGAGGGCACTGCCCATCCCCCCACTCTGCTACAAAGGTGGGTTCAGCAGTCATGTGTGGGACACATGACCCACCTCACACCTGGTCTCACCTGACTGACTCAGAGTAAGGGTAAGTAGGCACACAGTACAGCGGCCTTTGGGATGCTCTAGCATGGAAAGCTCTTCTCTTACAAGAATAACTTAGGCCAGATGCTCACTCTTAGAGACGTGGATAAGAAATATAAAGGCCAACAAGCAGAGAAAGTAGACGATGAACAGATGCACAGTGGGGCCATGACACAGAGTAAGGGCAGGTGGGGCTCAAAGTTCTGGGGGAGACAGAACCAATGATCAGTAAAACCTGTGATGTAGGTAGAGATGTGACATAAAGAGCATGGGGTAAAAGAAGGTTGTGACAGCCAAATGTAAGTGCACAGTGACGTTAACTCAAGACTACTAGGACAAGGTCCACTAATAGCAAAACAAACATGAGCAGCCAAGAACTCCAATCCTATGGACGCTGGGCCACTCGTTGGTCCTCATTTCTTGGATTCCCATAAGAACCCAAACTCCTCCTCCTTTTCAAGAAAACCTTAGATGGCAAGACAAGTTCTTACCCCCATTAAACCAGAAATGCCTTACAGCAGAGGAAGTGGGCATACGAACACTGTATAACACATATGAAGCGCAGTTCTTCTACCAACTTGCAATATCTCAATCTCTTTTCCCTTGCTTCTCACTGTATGTTTTAAATTGATTTAATGGGCTGGGAGTGGTAGCTCAAACCTGTAATCCCTGCACTTTGGGAGGTGGAGACAAGAGGATTTTCTGAGCTCAGGGATCCAAGACCAGCCTGGGCAACTTGGTGAGACCTCGTCTCTACAATAAATCAAAAAATTATCCGGGCGTAGTGACACATGTCTGTGGTTCCAGCTACTTGAAAGGCTGAGGTGGAAGAATCACATGAGCCTAGTAGGTCAGGCTGCGGTGGCCATGAGCATGCCACTGCACTCCAGCCTAGGTGACACAGTAAGACTCCAACTTAGAGAGAGAGAGAGAGAGAGAGACAGACAGACAGACAGACCAACTAGCCAAGGCTGGTCTCTGCAGGATACGAACCTTTATGAAAATGATGGTAAGTATCATACAGTGAACATTTTAAATGTTCTTAAATATCTCCACCCAGGTTTCAACCTGAAGAGCTAGAGTAGCATCAGATTCTCATTTATCCCACCTACAGCCCCATAGCAAGTGCATTACAGATATTAAAAGTGTGAGGTCTAGAGGTCTACTTACTGACAGGCTTGAATAAGTTCAGGGGTGTGATTTTTTTTTTTTTTTTTTGAGTCTCACTCTCACTCTGCCACCCTGGCTGAAGTACAGTGGCATGATCACGGCTCACTGAAGTCTCGACATTCTGGGATCAGGTGATCCTTCTGCCTCAGCCTCCTGAGTAGCTGGGACTACAAGCACAGCCCTGGCTTATTTTTTTATTTTTATTTTTTTATTTTTGTAGAGATGAGGTCTCCCTATGTTGCTGTGGGTAAGTGTCCAGGCACTGCCTCTTGCCTCCATATCAGGCTTCTTTCTGCCCCTCCCTCAAGGAGCAGCTCCTAGCCAAGGCTGGTCTCTGCAAAATATGGATATTCCCTGTAACAAGTCATGGGGTTAGCGAGTCACTGGATGCAGGTAACCAAGCAACCTAAAGACAATGTAATCATCACTCTTAATCAACATGATTGTTAACACTGTACAGAAATTTGAATAATTAAGTTGCTTGATTATAAAACCGTCTGAAGTCATGGGGTTAACCAGCCACGGGATGCAGGTAACCAAGCAACCTAAAGGGATGCAGGTAACTAAGCAACCTAAAGACAATGTAGTCATCACTCTTAATCAATGTGATTGTTAACACCGTATAAGAATTTGAATAATTAAGTTGCTTGATTATAAAACTGCTTGAAGTCATGGGGTTAATGAGTTACAGGACGCAGGTAGCCAAGCAACCGAAAGACAATGTAGTCATCAGTCTTAATCAATATGATTGTAAACACTATATAGGAATTTGAATAATTAACTTGCTTGATTATAAAACTGTTTGCTGTGCT